CACACACACACACACACACACACACTCACACACACGTTAAATGAAGTGAATTATTATTCTTTTTGGTAACCCTTTACTTAAAGCCTTTATGTATAAAGGTATTCATAATGTACATTATAATGCATGATATCTTTTCATAACTCTACCCAAACTTAAAATGCAATATAGCATTTGAAGGTTTGTTTGTTGTGTTTTAATGCATGATATTTTCTAAAGGTGTAACAGTGAATACATAAGTATTATATCTGTAGCTACAATTATTCACGAGCTCATACAGGTGCATAATTAATACATTAAAACACTTTCATATAAAGGTTGCATGTACAAAATACCACAGTATTGTATATTTACAATATAATATATATATGTATTTAACTTACAGAACCTTCACAAATTGAATTAAAAACATAAGATTTAAACTTAGATAAAATGTGCAAGTGCAAAACACCACGGTATTTTACAATTCAGATGATGATTCAATTTGCAGCACCTTCATAAACCGAATAAAACCATAAAAAACACACCTGATACACATTCTACAGTTATCATTTTGTAGATTTAGAAATTTCTTGCTCCGACCAAAGTGTTCTGAATGCACGGAGACTTCTGAACTCTTGAATATGACTTTGTGACGCTTCACAGGACTTTAAATGGGTCCCGCTAAATACTTCAAATTGGCCCTGCATCAAAACTAATCCTGCTTATTTGCATAACAGGCCTAATATTACCTCATTTTGAGTTCAGAAATATTAGGTAAAAACTTTCCATCTCATGCAGTTTTTTCCCCACAAAATGATTAAAAACGGAAAAACTCTATAGATTTAGATTTGACTAAAGAGTTTCTCCTTCTGATATTAGTCTCTGGCTTCTCAGATGTTTCTCCTGGGAAAAAGCCAAAGAAAAGATCTTAATGCCTCAAACTGAGTTTATTTTTTTAAGATACCAAAGACTGCAATAAAAATCTCAGTATAAACTCAAACATTTCTCATCGACTTCTCCCAATATTAAATGATCTGAGCTGCTCTATCGTATTCATTTTATACGAATAAATGAATAAATAAATAAGTTGGCCAAATGAATATATAACTCAACATGAATAATTTGTATATAAAATACTTGAACGATCGTATTAATTTATGAACATTTTCAGCTGTGCTTAAAGGTCTTCAGAAATGTTGTCTCGTGTAACAGTTTTGTTTTTGTATCTTTATGCATAGATTCAATTTATGAGATTATGTTTATTATGAAAATGGTAGAATGGTTTTTATGAGAAACTAAGACTTCCTACACCTTTTCTGGTTAATATGTAAAATTATGCATAATTTTTATGGAATTGTGTAGACTGAAAAAAATAATTTTTAATCTCTGATGATAGCTAGCTATTAAAAAGCAACCTCAGAGCAATACACTTTTTACTTTTTTATTTTATTTTATTTTTAACTGCTAAAAGCATCTCTAAACCATCCATTACAATCAATAAATGCAATGCATTATGAAAACCAACATCGTGAGCTCCTGCAACACGACTAATGCACTGCAGAAGAAATAAAGCACAACTCAAAATGAGTAGCAGGTTGCCATGACAACTCATTCAAGACAATGCAAACAGAGTTTGCACAATCCTGCAATCAGACGACTTCATGTCATTGTAAATGTGATGATGCAATACAAAACCAATAAAAAATAATCTGCATAATGAGACACGAGAATGCAGATATGAAACATGACAACACAAAGGAACGACTGTGGAAACTCGCTCATGCACTCTTAGAAACGACGCTACTATTTATATTCAAATGTGTTGATGATTTTCTCTGAGCTGCCAAACTCATTTACTTTATCTGCTGCTTCCCACCTCACAGACAAACCAGCCTGCTCTCAATCAGGTCCGCTTCTGCTCTATTTCCAGCGCAGCTCATGTTCATCGCTTTCATAACAGCTTTATTTATATCTGCTAAATTCTGCTGTTTTACATGATGAACGTGTGACTGTGGAAACATGACAACTGCTGAAACCGAATGGCCGAGGAAAACTCATAATACAATATTAGATTAAACAAAATGTAACATTCAGTTCTTAAATACAATAATATGAAAAGTTTTGTTAATATATACATTTTTATATTTTTTGTTTTCGTTGTAATTCTAGTTAAAGTTTGGTTGTGCATTTTTGTCATCAATATCATCATTATTATTTTTTAAATATGTCTATATAGTTTTTTTAATTAAACTTTAGTTTCTATTTTTAGTTTTAGTTATTTTAGTACTTCAAATGAAACAAAATAAAAATGAGACTTTTACTTTTTTAGATTTTATTTATTTAAAAGTTTATTTTATTTCAAGTATAAATAACAAAATAATAATAATTTTTTTTATGGTTTTAGTTTTAGTTAATGACAATAAGCTTGACCCAAACCTTACTTTTCAATTAGATTCAGTGAATAACAACAACAACAATATTATTATTTTAGTTAACTAGGATAAAAATAATTTTAATTTACACAAACATTTTTATAGTTTTAGTTAATGATAACACAAATGATACAAACTGTGTAGTATTTAATGTCTGAGGTTCGTTCCGAATCACTGTAGCAACAGTAACCGTGATGCTTGACTTGTACTTTGTTCTGTAAATTAGTGTCAAGGAGATTTTAGACAGTGAAAAGCTTGACAAAGTAAATTAGCATCTTTCTGAGTTTGAATCTGAACAGGTTTGACGCTGCTAGACTCACGCTGGGCTCCATGGTAACAGATACAGACGGTCTCTCGCTGGGGTCGCCACGGTTCCTCCCGGCTCATCACGGCTGCCATGGCAACAGACCGATCGGATGCAAAGAGGACTGTTGCTACCACGGCGATGGGAAGCTGAAGGATCATCATCATCAGAGTTTCTGAAAATCAAACGGACTGATGAGGAGAACCGCCGACTGGAGGAGAGGAGAGGACCAGACACACACACACACAGACACACACACACAGACACACACACACACACACACTCATGCACACACACTCATGCACACACACTCATGCACACACACACACACACACACACACACACACACACACACACGCACACACACACACGCACACACACACACACACACACACACACACACACACACACACACACACACACACACACACACATCTTGCAAATGTCTGAATTTCACTGCATTAGACAGATAAAAAAAAGGGCAGTAAATGCGGTCACATTCAGATGTTTATGCAGGCTTAGTGTCTACATGTATTCTGGGACAAAACCAGAAAGACCAGCCGAAGGATAGAAGTAAAGGGCTTGAGTGGCAAACAGAAAGTGAGGTACACTGCATGTAACTCATGAATGTTGAACTGCTGCTCTCTAGTGTGCGTATCGTTGTGATGCAGCTCACTTTCTTCAGATCATCAGATGTGCTTGTGTTATTCTTACATTGATCAGCAGTATTGATCTAAACCCACTGATCAAACTCCAGTCAGTGATGGTTTATGCTCTTTTCCTCTTCTTTACCAATCACTCATCTAATCGGTAGGGATGCCAGCTGATTGCTTTAACAATGAATGACTCTAACTACATTATGTGCGGATTAATTTATCATGTATATTAATATTTGAGAAAAGTCATTTATATATAGCAGTTTATACAATACAGACAGTTTCAAAGCAGCTTCACAGAAATAAACAGGAAAATAAATAGTGTTAATGTTCATCAGTTATGAAACAAATTCAATTCGACTACTTTGAAAGAAGTTTCTTCTGCTCACCAAGGATGGATTTGTGCTTAAAAATACTGTAAAATTGTGAAATATTATTAGAATGTAAAGCAGCTGTTTTCTGTGAATCTGTGTTAAGCTGTAATGTATTTCTGTGATGCGCAGCTGTATTTTCAGCATCATTACTCCAGTCTTCAGTGTCACAAGATCTTCAGAAATCAGTATAATATGCTGATCTGCTGCTCGAGAAACATTTCTGATTATTATCAATATTGAAAACATTAATATTTTTGTGGTAACTGTGATGCATTTTATTTTCCAGGATTCACAGATGAATAGAAAGTTCAAAAGAACAGCATTTATTTGAAATGTAAATCTTTTCTAACATTATAAATGTATATTTACTGTCACTTTTGATACATTTAATGCGTCCTTGTTGAATAAAAGCGATCATTTCTTTCTTTCTTACCCCAAATTTTTGAATTATAATTGAATGCTGAAAATTCAGCTTTGTGTCGAAATGTAAATCTTTTCTAACATTATAAATGTATATTTACTGTCACTTTTGATACATTTAATGCGTCCTTGTTGAATAAAAGCGATCATTTCTTTCTTTCTTACCCCAAAACTTTTGAATTATAATTGAATGCTGAAAATTCAGCTTTGTGTCACAGAAATAAATATAATTTTAAAATATATTACAAAAGAAAACAGTTGTTTTGAATTGCAATATTTCACAATATTACAAAAGCAAGTGTTCAAAGAAAATGAACTTGCTTGTTGGAGACATTTACCTGCTAAGAAGAACTAGATGAACATGTGCTTTCCTCCACAGCAGATCTTGACCATGAGGACGGTTTAATAGCTCAAAATCTCCTGAAATGAGTTCTTGCTTTTGTCTGTTTCAGAGACGAGGTCGAGTCTGAGGTAATATTTTCCACTTCATATTTAATTTTCAGGTCATTTTTAGATGCACGGTGTCTGTTGAGGCACTAAACCCATCATGAGCCTAAAAAAGCATGTAACAAAAAAAAATGAATATAACCGTTACATAAGAGCTATAAAAACAGAGGATTTTTTTCTGATGTGCCTTGTTGCCTTCTGAATTATTTTATTTTTTAATTAATTGTAACCTCTAAACCACGAACATACAATTAAAGGCAATCATTTTGCATCAAATCAAAAAAAAAAAATGAAGAAAAAAAAAAAGGGTAAATCAGCATGGATAAGAAATTAAGATGCATTTTGCACATTATAAAATCAAAGCATATATGTTTAAGGCTTTACTGAAATTGACTTTTTTGATGTTTAATTCAGTGAGCCAATCAGCTGTGATCTGCACATGAAATTCAGATATTTTAGTTATTTTACACAACTCACTTTCCAACTTGCCATTTCTTTGTAATTTACTAGCAATTTTTGAGTGAAAATAGTTTAAACACCATTCAGTATAGTGACTACTTCGATCTAAAAATGAAATGTAAACGGGCATTGTAAATAAACACATCTGTGGATTAAGAATTGTTCATATACGAGTAAATTTCCAATGTACCTCATTTTCAAATTTACATCATAGTCATAAAACATCTTTTTCTTTGAGTTGCATTTCAGTGTTTTAGATCTAGTGAACAATCTTAAATGATACCTCTATAGTTTCATTGGGAATACATGAGTGGCACATCAAAGGTTTGTGTGAAGCACAAGTCAAGCAGTCAGTTTAATTGAATGGTTACTCATGTGATTCTGACGCATCAACCTTCACGAGTCCTGCAGCGTTTGCTTCTAAACCTGCTGTTTTCAACCCAAAGACCCTCGGTGAGCTGCTGGTTCAGCGGTGTTTAATTACGAACTAAACTCTGCAGGAAAGCGGCTCTTATGGAGAAGGAATGAGGGACTCTGATTCAGCCGATAACTCAATAAAAGATCAATTAAACCGTTTCAGAGTCACTGCATCATATGGTACACTGCAGTGGGATTTCTTTAAAAAAAATGTAAACTGTTTCTGAAAAATGTGTGGTTATTACTTCCAAAACAAATAAATAAATAAATAAACAAACTTTGTATAATTTTATCCAGTTATTTATCTACACAAATGTTTAAAAAACATAACAGTGACTGGGGTAAATATCTTCCACTAAACAAACAGACAAATAAAGCTAACTAACTTAATATATTTCATCTAATAATTGGAAGCACCTCAGAGATGCACTCCAGCAGTGTGTGTGAGTGAGTTTGTGTGTGTGCGTGTGTGTGAGTTTGTGTCGCTTGAAGCACAAGCATGAAATCAGTGTGTGTTCCATCTGTATGAAGCGCCTCCAGCTCTGATAGATGGCCAAGAACCAGTAAGGAGAGCGACACACACACACACACACACACACACACACTCTCTCTCTCTCTCAGGTGTGTGTGATCTGGCTTCTCCACTAGATGTCTCTGTGAAGTCGTGTTGATGCTGCAGGCACTGTAAACTCAACTTCATCAAACAACAGGAGGCAGATGGAGATTTACTGCCTGTGAAAGACTTTCAGAAGCCAGAGACTATCAAAACTTCATCAGATTCATTATACAGTTATATCTGTAACATGCACGATGCTTTATGGATGAGTTTGAGTAGTTTAAGCTTTCCTATAGCAGTTTTGTATGGATATTTACCAATAGAGGGAGACAGAGACTTTAAACTGATCTGCTTTAAAGAGGCTGAGAGGTTTTATGGGACAAAGATAATGAAGGAGAATGTGATTTTTTACAGTAGAACACAGTTGCTCTCCAGCGGTGTTCTAGAAGATTGTACTTCGTTTAAAAAGCATGGTAATACTACGGTACTTTGATAAGTACCATATCCTATTCATAGATATTTACATGGTACACCAAGGTACTGTACAGAAAACCACTGTACTACAGTACTACCATAGTAAAGCACTACAAACCATTTTGATATAAAATAGAAAAAAATCTAATAATCTAATCTATATCTAAGTCACAGATATAAAAAGGGGTCATTCCATGCAAAGCTTTGTACATTCAAATAAGAGTTTTAAAATCAATCTGCGACTGAACAGGAAGCCAGTGCAGACTATAGAGGATGCCTGTAATGTGCTGACATGATGGAGTATAGGTGAGAAGACGTGCTGCTGAATTCTGGATGTACTGTAGCTCTCTTTATGGATAGCAGCTGGTGTGCCAATGAGAAGATCAATTTTTTTTTAAATGACGGTGCATCCACATTTTTTATTTCTGCACACTCTCAGAAAGAACGGAAGAAGTGTCATTAATATCAGACTTAGAGCAGATATAAATCTGAGTGTCATCAGCATAAAAGTGATAACCTAAACCATAATTCCTAATAATTTGGAAGCATATAAATGCTGAACAATATAGGACCCAAAACGGATCCTTGAGGAACACCATGGCGGACCTGTCCAACATCAGATTTATTGTTTCCCGAGACAACAAACTGGGAACGATCTGTAAGGCAGGACTTAAACTATTTAAGCACAGTACCAGAGAAACCAAGTCAACTCTCAAATCTATTAAGCAAAATGGAGTGGCACAGTGTCAAAAGCTGCAGTAAGATCTAACAACACCAAGATGGTAGAGGCTCCAGAGTCAGCGGAGACAAGCAGGTCATTCATGACTCAAACCAAGGCAGTCTCTGTACTGTGTCCTTCTCTAAACCCAGAATGGAAAGGCTCAAAAAGCTTGTAGAATGACAAGTGTGAGTATAGTTGAGTCACGACACGTTCCAAAACCTTAGCAAGAAAGGGATGATTTGAGATCGGCCTGTAGTTTGACAGATCAGATTGATCACATCCAGGCTTTTTAAGGACTGGCTGCAACCTTAAGGACTTCTGGAACAATACCAGTAGTAAGGGAGATGTTCACAATGTTCAAAATTAAGGGACGTATTGATGGCAAACACTCCTTTAAAACAGCTGTTGGGATTGGATCGAGAATACATGTAGTTGTATTCATTGCCATCACTAATTTCAAAATACAATCAGTTGTAACTGTTAGAAAATGTAGTTTCAGGAGTCACAGGAAACGCAGAACAGGGTGCCAAACTAATAGAATTATGAATGTTCCTTGAAGATTTTGAGAAAGTGGTTACAGTCACACACAGAGGAACAAATCATTGGCTTAACGGGTAAAAAAAGTTTGTTGATAGTCTTAAAAATCATGTTCAGGTTTGCAGTACCATCCCTAAAAATGGACGTGTAGTACTTCGTTCTTGCCGCTTTAAGTGCTTCACTGACTTGACCCAAGTGTTCAGCCTACATAAGCTTATGGACAGTCAATCCTGATTTCTTATACCGGCGCTCAAGCTGCCTACTTATAACCTTAAGAGCTCTGAGCTCAATGGTGTACCATGGGTAAGATTTAGTAAATGAAACAAAATGTTCTCTCCTTGGGGCAAACACATCCAAAGCAGATAACACAGAACTAACAATTGTACGCAGTTCAGAGTTCACTAAAAAGCAGAGGATTAGGTATTGGAGGACTGTAGATGATAAAACAAGAACGGGAGGTACCATTCATTCTGAAAGCTATACATTCAAAAGATGACACACAGGGAATGGTATTTTCAGTGACAGATATATCTGCTCTGTAGAGAACTGCAAGACCGCCACCTTTACCCCTTAGACCTGGCCTGTCAATGCATGTATAACCTACTCATATTTAGGATTTATGAAGTAATTCGGCTGATGCCAAGATTCACAGACAGAAGAAATCCAGTCTATTGTTTAATATAATATCATAGAGTAAAGCAGTCTTATCGTGCGCCAGCGTTCTCCCCACCGGAAGTGGTACCATGGTAAAGAAAAATGGTAAAACTATGGTAATTTGATAAATACCATGGTACTAAACGATTTGCATGGTAAACCAAGGTACTGTACAAAAAAACATGGTATCACAGTATTAACGTGGTAAAAACATGGTCAAGTTGGTACTCAGTGATAACCATATTCATATACCATGATTTTTACATGGTACTCCAAGACACTTGAAAGAATACCATGGTACCAGAGTATTACTATAGTAAAAAGCATGGTAGCTTTGGTAAGAAGCATGGCACTGAATGATTAGGCCATGATATGCGCAGTGCATTAGCACTTCAAGTAATAGCTAACAAGTGAAAATCACTCTACCTATCTAGTAAAACAGCATTAGCATGGTACTCAGAGCAGTAAGTGTTTCTATTCAGTGAGTTTCAGACCCACAGCCGCAGATTTACCTCCAAAATCAGACTGCGAGATTATCACGCGATACATGCGCTCAAGCACGCTGGTAAATGTCACCGGCTTTTCAATTAATTTCAATTAATCACCCGCGGGACTAACGAGCGCCGGGATCACAGTGGGCTCTAACGAGGGCGCTGTGATTAATTAAGGTCTTCTTTTTCCACCCCTGCCTGAAAATGTTAAATGCCACAGAGAATATGATCCATTGTTTCACGAGACAACATGAAGTTCTCGTTAGAGTTTAACCCCTTGAAGACTAATGAGATCGTAGATTAGAATGGCTGTGTAGAGTTTGTTTACATGACGTCATGAACATGCCAAATGCATTAACGACTTACTATAAACACTATTATTTAATGATTTCAATGATGTGCATTTCATGGGAAATGAACCAGCTACAGAAAGACACGAGAAAGTATTTGTGCTTCCATTCGTGTTTATGTTTAATTCGAATCCAGCGCCTTCCAGCCTCTTCACAGATTATTTTATTTCAAATTTGCACAGGACACATTCTTATGGAAGCCCGTTTCTGCCACTGAAAATAAAAAATAAAAAGTTGCATGATATAAACTCGCAATTGCAAGAAAAAAAGTCAGAATTGTGAGATAAAAAGCCGCAATTACCCTTTTTTTATTTAGTGGCGGAAACGGGCTTCCATACATTCTTGCCTTCAAGAACCATTGAACTGTTTTTAAAGGTAAGGTGTGTAAACAGACCTACAATACTCCTTTTTCGCTGTTTGTTCAACAATATCGCTTTATTGCTTCGGAAACCGCTTTACTTGCGCGTCAGTTAGCTGATTGAATGATTCAGACCGATTCGCGAACCGATTAAGAAAGAATCACGAATCGAATTGAGACTCGATTCAGAAAGCATCGCGAACCGAATTGAGACTCGATTAAGAAAACATCGCGAACCGAATTGAGACTCGATTAAGAAAGCATCGCGAACCGAATTGAAACTCGATTCAGAAAGAATCGTGAACCGAATTGAGACTCGATTCAGACATAATCGCGAACCGAATTGAGTCTCGATTAAGAAAGCATCGCGAACCGAATTGAGACTCGATTAAGAAAGAATCGCGAACCGAATTGAGACTCGATTTAGACAGAATCGTGAACCGAATTGAGACTCGATTAAGAAAGACTCGCGAACCGAATTGAGACTCGATTCAGACAGAATCGCGAACCGAATTGAGACTCGATTTAGACAGAATCGTGAACCGAATTGAGACTCGATTAAGAAAGACTCGCGAACCGAATTGAGACTCGATTCAGACAGAATCGCGAACCGAATTGAGACTCGATTTAGACAGAATCGTGAACCGAATTGAGACTCGATTAAGAAAGACTCGCGAACCGAATTGAGACTCGATTCAGACAGAATCGCGAACCGAATTGACACTCAATTCAGACAGAATCGT